GCAAAGGCAGATGGGGCAACAGCATTGTACATTGCATCCCAGAACGGCCACTTGGAAGTTGTGCGTTTGTTGCTCGATGCTGAAGCCAACAAAGAAGCGGCATCGATAGATGGAGCAAGGCCTTGCTTCATTGCAGTGCAGAATGGACACCAGGAAGTTGCACGCTTGTTGCTCGAGGCTGGAGCAGACAAAGATGCAACAAACGCAGATGGAGCGACAGCTTTGGTCATTGCAGCACAAAATGGTCACTTGGACATTGTTCGGTTGTTGCTTGAGGCTGGAGCAGACAAAGATGTGGCGAAGGCAGATGGAGCAACAGCAATATTCATTGCAGCTCAGAACGGCCATGTTCAGATTGTACGGTTGTTGCTTGAGGCTGGAGCTGACAAAGATGCAGCAACAGCCGATCAAGCAACTGCATTGTTCATTGCAGCTCAGAATGGACACTTAGATGTTTTGCAGTTGTTGCTTGACAGTGGAGCTGACAAGAATGTGGCGATTGCAGACGGGGCAACCCCATTGTTCATAGCAGCCCAGAATGGCCACTTAGACATTGCACGGCTGTTGCTTGAGACTGGAGCAGACAAAGATGCAACAAAAGCAGATGGAGCAACAGCTTTGGTCATTGCAGCACAAAATGGTCACTTGGACATTGTTCGGTTGTTGCTTGAGACTGGAGCCGACAAGGATACAGCAACAGACATTGGGGCCACAGCTTTGTTTGTTGCAGCCGAGAATGGCCACTTGGATGTTGCGCGCTTGTTGCTGGAGGCTGGAGCTCAGAAAGACACAGCAACCTTTCCTGGAGAAACAGCTCTATCTATCGCGACTCTCAAAGGCCACTTGGATATTGCGCGGTTGTTGCGTGAGGCCGGCGACTGAACCACAGTCATCCATTTCCCCGGGTTCATATCCCGACGGCATGTGCCCGTGTCCAAAGAAGAACACACATACAACCGGGATGGAGCACGTGCAAGAGCAGCTCACGCTGACCAAAAGATCGGAGTGCGAAAATATGACTTTGCCAATGGTTGGATTCGCAAGAATGTGGGGATTCCATGGAATGACCCTGTGATACATAGCCTGCTAGTGTTGTGTTTTTCTTTCAACTTTGGCGAGACAGATTGAGGGGCGGAGCATGTCCTGTATAGCGCATACTCCTTTTCAGACACTGTCGGCCTGTAAGTCCAGAACAAAGCATATACAGCTAGCTACGCATTCTCTCCAGAAGTATGACCAACAGTCTAGATTCATTCTATGAATCTGAATCTGTTTAATTCGTCTAAACAGCTAGAGACGTTCTCCCCCTGGAGCGCGCGCCCTGTGCCCGTTTTTACTCGTCAGGGTCCAAAACTCCCAGAAACGGCACACCAGGTGATTTGAGAGTGTATAGATGGCACAAACCCCAGAAGGAGCTTTATGTGGACCTCAATTTTTTCAAGACATTTTGTCATCTTGGAATCTTGGGGTGCGAGTGCCATCTACTCTGAAACCTGAAACCGCTGTAGTTCTTGAACCCATTCGCGGTAACACATGATGGACACATCATGAGGAGTCCAAGCGATTCCCATTGGTTCTTCTCAATTCCATTGGTCCCTTCGATCATATTCGATCCATTCGAGCGATGGCCCAGTTGTGAGCGCCTTGTACGTTTACTGCGGCTGGGTGCCTCCCTTTTGGGTGACTGCAAGCTTGTGGGTCATCTTCGACATGGCGCCTCGAAGATGGAGCGGTGCCACTCAGGGGACATTGCTAAGAGATTAGTTGGTTTCCACGTGGATTGAAGAGAGTTCTACGAGCTTCTCACTGTTTAGCAGGAGATTCCTTTTTCCGTTTGTTGTACCATGTTGTACCCATAGGATCCTTTAGGGCTCACTGTTGGCATGACGGCGATGTCGGTGAAGAGGGCAGCTGACCTTCGCTGATCGCCCCGAAGCAGAAAGATACCACTAATCATTTGGTTCCTAGCTTTTTGAAGCTTCTTAGGGAAACTGATATAACAAGAAGACTTGGTTTATAGAATCATAGAAGTTTCCTCGTCCTTCACGGAGCTTGCCGTGCTTCTGCCTGCGCTCGCGCCGCCCAATCACTTCATCAAGTCAGAGAGCGGAGTTGTTTAATGCGAAAAGCACCAGTCTCAAGACCTTTCACCCGCGCAAAGTCCAAGATTTTACACTCATCATGGCCCTGGCACCGTGGATGTGATGGCCCCCAACAAGACCTTCGGATACCTTCGGAATCGGTGGTCATGAGTCAGACCCGTCCCAGATGGTTTTCACTCCCAGGTTTCGTGTCATGTCGCCAGTCGTCACGCCGTGATTTGACGTGGTTAGTTAGACAAGGTGATGAACTGGGCGGAGACCTCGAATTGAGCGAATGATTTGTGTCCTGATGTTGGGGATGATCAGAATGTCATCTAAAACCCTGTCTTCCCAGATGTTCCAGTCCTTTTGAGCTATTCAATGCGACTCTCGTGGCGAAGATGGGACGGATCCAGTGATGGAAACGAGGTGGATCGTTTGTAGCTCAACTAGGGAGACTTCCCAGGCGTTCCCCCTGGGTTCGGTTCAGGAAATAGACTAGTCTACCCAGCCAGGGCCAGGGGGCTTCGACTCCATTTCGTTAAGACCTTGGTGACCGTCGACCGTTGACCTTTGACAGTTTCGGTGATATGTTCGGAGTCCACAATCCAGCTCAGCCGCAGCTCCTAAGGCCTTTGGAATGGCCTGGCTAGTCTTTTGGGCTGTGTGGGTCTTCTTGATGCCCTTCTCCTTTCTGGCCGGGTCACTTGGCCCAAACTTCACAGCTGGAGAGAGGCGTGAAGCACCCGTGCAACAGGACTTGTCTTTGATGACTGGCCATTCTTTCCAATTGCTGAGTGCAACTTCTTTCTGAGAGCGGAGCGAAGAGCAGCACCTACCAGATCTACTGGCTAGGTGTCGGTTCTGTTTCATTTGTGGCAACGTCCGAAAGCACAGTGGTTGACCGAAGAACAAGCACCCTGGGCTTCGTCTCGCCGTCTCGCCTTCGGCGCAGCTAGCAGGTTTCGGCTTCGGCACCGGGCCTCCCAGGCGAACCGTTGAGGAAGAAGGGAAATAGACCAGTCTACCCATTGGTTGGGGGTCTTCCTATTAAGATGTACACCCATATAAACATAAATATACGTACTTCAATAGTATACAGTATTCAACAATCTTCAATAATATATATATATATACACAATGTTGACTGCTAAAGAACAGACCATCTCTAGGGGGTGTTTGATTAATCAGTCATTACTTGATTTGATCTCAGTAAGGGGAGTGTCCTAGTCGAGGCGGATGCGGACCACGGTTAACTGAATGAGACAATTGTCAAGTTGAGTCGGCCATCCAAATCACCGAAGGGGTGCCTCAAAACTACCGCACTCTCCACAACTCCACAACCCATTGGCACCAGGAAAAGAGATGACTTGCGGCTGAATTCATTAAAACTGAAGATTTCTGGAGAACACATAGAAAATGAGAACTCCCTCACTCCAATGTGTGCACACCAGCTTAGGCAAATGGCCGTCTTCAAGGAGATGTTTCTTGGAGATACATCATGGGGCTCGTTTATCAATAACAATCAAAAACAGCTCCTCCACACGCAAGAAAGTCTTTGAAGGATAATGACTATAGCCGTAGCTGTAGCTATCCTTTGTGCTGCTTGGCATTTGTGGAGAGGGCAAAGCGGCGCCCCAAGGTGCAGCCAACATCCATTCTGGCACCCAAGATGTTGCGGTATTGACAAGGTCAGCTAGAAGAATTTATAGGAATTCCACGAATCACGTGAATTTGCCCTGAAGACTCAGGCTTACCCAAAACAGAAATATTCATCACCTCCGGAATGCACAAATCATCCATCAAAGGCCCAGAACTGGACGTGCCGACGGTCGCTCTCTGAGTACGGACTCAAGTCCACAGGTCAGTTCAGCCCCAGAACTTGGTGATTGCACAGTCTGGCAGAACAGGGGACTTTTCAACAGTCCTCTCTTTCCGACCAAAAGAACAACAGGTCCGCTTCGGGTGATTTGAGACTCGCCAGCTTCGAGGCTCACGCCATTGCCCTTTTATTACCACAATGCCAATGTGCTCCTGATGACACTCGAACTGATGTTCTCCCGCTGGACCATGATGCTCGGCGAAGCACCCCACGTCAGGACCGGCCGGTCTTGGGACCGGATGGTGGCCTGGGTGGTGGAAAGGGGAAGACGGGGGCACTCGGTGAGGTTTTTAGGGCCTTGCAACGATATCACGAGCTGGCCGATGATTCTCGATAGCTCCTCCTACGAGGAAGCCTTACTTATGCGGGTTACTCGGACTGGGCGCGCTGTCGCCCTTCTCTGCAGAGGAGTGTGAGAGAAAAGCGCTCCTTGGGTTCTTGTGGCACCGTTTCCGCTGGCCACTCTGGCACAGGAAAGGTGTCTTGTCTCGGGGGCGCCGCCTGCCATCTAAGGGGCCTCCCTGACCCTGCGGGGTCTCCTTAACTAACAAAGCCTAACAAAGCCTAAGCCGGTCCTTTTGCGTTCGCCTGTATTGAACCGATGTTGAAAGCTGGGGTGTGTAGCTCAAATAGACCTCCCAGGCGTTCCGACCCCCTAAAGCCGAAAATAGACCAGTCTTGCTAGCGATCGGGGATCTCTTGGACTCAAAGCGATGAAAACCGCGTGATCGGATGAGTAAGTTGCTGTGCTCAGTTGCATCGCTCAGTTGCTGCTGCAGTTGGGTCCGTTTTGGACATATCTGAAGATCAGGAGTTTTGGTGAAGTGACCATTTATGGATTCATTACTCAACTCTTTCTTCCATGAGGTCTTCAGTATCTTTCATAGCTGCAGCGATGTGTTTGACGTGTTCTGGATGAGGGATACGTAGAAGATCCATGGTCTCTACAGGGTGACCTTGGACTTTGATCCATGTTCAAAGGTGGTGTTTTTTCGTCGTTCGCAGGTCCGCAACACGAGATGTCAGACCGCCCAGGAATGAAGAGCACTGCATCTTCCCGGTCTACTTCGCCTATTCGCATCCTGAAAGATGTTGGACTTGGGCACTAGGGATGTGATGCACCCTTGGAGGCCACACTTCTTTCCTTATTAAAGCTGTAGGGGCACATATCATCCGCTCTGGGAAATGAGGGCAGCATGGTTAAATCACTGAATTCTGGCTTGTTGGAAGCCGCCTTGCAGCAGGGACGCTGACTGCAGCCGAAGGGCCGGAAGGTCACCAAGGTCACCTCTGGGACCTTCCGACCTTCGCGAGCTGAGGTATCTCTACTTCAACTGGTACCTCTACTCCAAGATGGGTGTGTGGATCTATTTCTTCCTTGACTACAACAGGCCAGCGATGGCCAGCGATGGCTATCAATTTTTGTGCAACTCCCTCCCACCCACGGACTCCCAGCTGTTGCTCTTGCGAAAGGCAAGGGTCTTCCCATTCCAATATCATTGACATAAATATGATTAGATATGTAAATAGATTAATAAAGATCATAATATGTAAAACATTGTGAAGATAGTTTATTCTTTGATGTTTTGTCCTGTGTTGTCCTTCCCTTGGGAAGGCCATCCTCCGTCCCGGTGTGCCTTTTGCTTTGTGCCATCACCGCCGGCTCCTTCGACCTCGGAGCTCGTTTGGCCTCGGGGAGCGGATGAAAAGAGCGCGGAGCGCAGCAGACCGTCGTTTTGGATCGCCCGGCTGGTCGTTGGAGGTCCAATGGTATAAGGAATTGCACCGTGAGGGGGTTGGAGTTGGCAAATGTTGGCCAGGTGTTTCTTTTTTGTTCTATTTTTTGGAGTTAGGATGACAGTTGAACTAAACAAGAGGCGCGAACTCATGGACGGATGTTGCTCCTCATGTTGGTCAGTAAACCATTATATACAAATATACACATGTTTTGCCAATCAGTGTTTGGCCCCGTTGGGTAGTCTTGTTTTTGTATATACCAACATTGAGCATGGACCCTTCAACAAAAAGAGCAAAAAACAATCTTTGGCAACACAGTTCAAAGAGAAGATTTGTTGTGTCATCATGTGTCTATTTGTTTCGACCATTCGAAAGGTTGCCGGTCTCTTCCCGAGTTCTTCGCCACGTCCAGTTCCGACCGGCCGGATACTCTCGGCGTTTGAACGGCGGAACGACACTCCGTTCACAGGAGCTGAAGGATCACTTCCGCCCGATGGGCGAGGTGAGCTTTTGCACCATCCATGGAGGTGCCGTTCTCGTCGGATCCCATGGAGGTCCCCGTGCGGGTGGACAATGGATGGACATAAGGACTTCATATGACAAAAGTATATATGATAGCATACGTTTAACTAAACCGTTAATTATTTGTTTTAACTACACGGACCAGACTCTAAACAGTTCTTGCATTTTTTGTTTGGAGCAACTTGAACACGATGAATTGTTATCAAATGTATTCAAATGTTATCAATGCTTCTGCGTGCTTTTCTTTTTTCAAGCTCTGAAGGTTTCAGCGGCATTCTCGCGAATCAATAGGGCTAGGTGGGAAGCATGTCGTATGGGCAAGTGAGCAGGTGTGAGCCTGGTGTGAGGCTGGACCTACCCCGATTGGCTCAGGGTGTCCAAACTCTACAGCCAAACTCTGACAGAGACAAACCAACGGTAGAAAGTACCGGAGTTCAAACGTGCCAGGTGGACTGGACGAGCCGCGGGTGTTTCACGGGTGAAACATCCGGACTTCCGGGACCGAAGCGACGAGATGTTTTTCGCTGTTACGGTCACCAACACGTCCGTTGGACGGATCGGTTTGGGATCGAAATATGCACCCAAAGGGTGATCGAAATGACCCACCTCTGGACCTGATCTTCATTGATCTTCCATCCGCATGCCACGGGATCCGCCCAGCCTCTCGCACGGCACGGGTGAGTTTCCTGGATGCCAAGCATGTGGGGGCTCTCGGTGAATGAGCGTGAGGCGGTGATGAAGCGGAGGGTGAAACTGCTACGACCCAGTATGCGGCTTTGATGATGCATTGTATGTTCATTTTGTATCATTATGATCATTAGACTATAGACATCAAAGTAATTCTATATATATACATATATATATATATATCACATATATAATATATATATATATATCACGTATATATAATCATATATATATATTATATTTGTTTTTCTTTTTTTCATAATTAAGGAATTATAAGGTGTCCATTGGTTTCTTCTATCGGTCGAACAGGACCATGTCTGGTAGAACATGGCTCCTTCGAATACGATTCACCTTCACAAACTGGGTATGTTCATGTTTAAGTTTCTTTTTGAATCCGCACAGCTCTTGAAAGTAGGGCGGGTTTGGAGGTGCAAGGGCCGGTGACGAGACGGATGGGGCCCCTTTGGCTTGTAGGGATCGGATATCTCAGGTGTTGTGAATCACATCAGTGGGCATCCCAGATGCAAATTCCTTCACACTCTCCCAAACATGTTGCTCTTTGTGAGCAAGATTCAACGTACTTATCCCACTGGACTACAACCCAACCGTTGTTGTTACTCCCCGTAGACAGTGGCAGCCTTGGGGCTCGGGGCAACCAATGAGCCTGCAATTGGCAATATGTTTTTTATCGAACAGCCCTGCTGGACGTCAGAAGACCAAGATGTTTATCAAGCAACATTGATGGCAGAGCTGTGGGCTGGAGTTGGCGTACCGAGTGACCGAGTGAGGGAAAGCACTGGTCGAGTTGCAAAGAACATCATCATTTTGCGAGGACTTGAGCCCAAAGAGCACACAGTCAGACAGTCACATTTTGTCACAACAGATTTGTGTCGTAGTTGATTTGTCCAGTGACAGTGAGGTGTTGCTACTCTGATTGGCCCTCATACTCCTTGGATAGCCTCGGACATGTGCAATCTGATTGATCATGCTGGGTAGAGGCTTACATATCTTAAGCTCGCCCCCAAATACCCCCAAAATTCCAAACTGCAGAGCATCCTACTATATAGATCATGTTTCCATATGTTTCCTCACTCATCACGTCTCACTCAGGGGTCCTCTCCTCGTATTTGGTCGGTTGGAAGGGTATCTTTGGACACCACGGACGGCACCACGTCAGGCAGCTTCCGCTGTGAAAGACCTGTCGAGGTTCTCTTGTGTCGGATGGGACGAAGCACAGCGGGCTGGACCATCAAGCCATGGCGAAAGCCACCATGAAAAACCAAGAATGTGGTGAGTGTGTTTGGTTTGTGTAGTGGTTGTCCTTTTTTCGCGAATTCCCTTCTGGGGAAGATGTTTTTTGTGGGTTCCTTCATCAAATACAAAGGTTTCGCAGTTGGGGATAACAACAACCAACGCAGTTTTGCTTCGAAGGATCATGTTGGCACTCCCCAAGCACCTCGAACCCAGTCGAGTGGATGGAACTCCGGTCATCCACATATAGAAACACCGTCGTTCAACGTCCACGAGGAGAAAAAGGGCCTTCCGTGCTTCGACGCTTCGACGCTTCGACGCTTCGACCGTCGGAACTGAGACGTCACCCGACTCCAGCGACGGGACGCCGTCGCTGCAGGTCATACATTGACGGCTACAACCGTGAGATCAAAGTGTGCTGCATCCCAGAGTGACCAGCGTGATGGTGGTTCTTTTGGGGAACCCAGCGGCCAGTTTCTGGACTTAGATAGGTCATTTTCGATTTGATCACTACTTTGTATTTGAGCCATGAGCCATTCTGCCAAATCCCAAGAGAGACTTTACTGATTCATGCACTTTCTCTTCGGCACCAGATGGTGAAGAGGGAACCACGGACAGCATACGCAAAACGGGTTCGCTTTCATGGCACGTCCAGAAGCCCAGGACCGGCACCTCGAGTTCCTGCACGAGTATAGCATAGTCCTTTACATCACATGTTACAAACTGTTTTTTTGGTGAAACATCAATTAGTTTCCCGTTGTTTGGGTTTCGAGGTAGGGATTGAGCATGCAAGGGTGACGGTAGCGGAAAGATTCACAGTTGCCTCAGCTACTACTCTACAAGGCAATGGAAGCGATAGAAAGGGCTGCCCATGTGAGGCCATGGAAGATTCGCAGAATTCCAAGAGAATGAAGAGTAAGGGTGACTTGCCCACTCTTTTGGTCACTCACCATGAATCTAAGAGAGACCTCTAACCACTCTAACCCATAAGTGAGGTTTGGATCAAGGAATTATCGGCGAGAGAAGGACGAGGCATCGGCATGAAGATAGATGATCATCTCCGATAATGGTTGCCTAGGCGATTAAGATACTTTAAGAGTAGCTGCATAGGCAAAGATAATATTTTGGGAGGGCGTGAGGGTCGGCATGGGGAGCTTACTGCAGTTGAACTGGCCACGCTTCCTGTAACAACACTGGTTGCAGAATGCTGACTTCCATTTTCTGCCGGAGTGTCCTAGCACGTGTGCTCTCAGGACATATCCCTATCACCGTTGTCAGACAGAGGCTGGAACCCTAGAAACTTTGCTACCTGTGGTCTCTCTTCACATCGTTTCTTTCAATTATGACAATCATTGAATCATCAATCAACCATGCCGCAACAGATGTGGCCAATCAACATCCATCATCCACAGGTCCATCAACATCCCGGCATCCCGTGTCTCTTTTGGGATTCCGAAATCGGACCACCGGGTGGGTAGGTCATGCTCCAAAAGAGAGAACAACCAGAGAATGTCACTTAGAGGGTCAGTCTTCTTCGAACAGAGATTCAGAGATTCGATGATATTGGTACCAATTCTTTCTCAAGTTATGGAAGATAGGGTTTTTGAACAGTCTTGTTTGTTTCTGATGCGGCGGACGTGGCTTTAAAACTCTTGACATCGTTGGAATGCTTGGGGATGTCCCATAGATGCACGACAACAAGATAATGAGATGCATAATCTGATATTGCAGAGGATTTCTGATAATGAGATACCTATAATGCACGACAACAACATATTGAGGATTTCTGATATTCCAGACGAGCAATGGAGAGCTCATTCAGCAACAGTAGCGTAAGCTATGCCGTTAACTTAAATGCCTTTGACTCAGCATGAGCCCAGCAATGCCAAATGTGATGCAAGTGAGCGAAAGAAGGTCCATGGTTTTTATTACAGTAGTCCTAAAATCCTAAATACTCTAGTCCCTTTCTCCCCAGATCTATTTTCGCCGATACACACCAGTTTGAATGCGCTTCATGAGCCTGCGAAAGTGAAAGGACAGCAATAGAATATATAGTTCTCAGACACAGAGTTCCTCCTTCGATGTCTCAACTCGCACCCCTGGCCCAACCAGTCCGGATCCGCACTGTGGCGGGAAGTGAGGTGCGGGTCTCCTGCCTAGACAAGGAGGTCACCGAAGAGGAGCTTCGAAAGTGGGAGGCCAAGAGCCTCCGAAAAGGACCGGAGAGCAAGACCAGTGGAGGGTCGATGGGGTCGTTTGGGGTTCCACAACATGGTAGTCATCGGTGTCATGGGTCACCAATCATCATGAAGGAGCGATTCTAACTGGGCGCCCGGAGTCTAAGCAATTGGGCTGGGACACTATTCT